TGGCTGGAATCAATGGTCAGGTCTGCGGTCCATTGACGTTTGTTTGCACTGCAACAAACCTGCGCATTTTTAAGTCAAATCGACATTTGCAGGTAGGTAGGGTAGTTGTATTGCTTGAATGACCTTTATTACAGGTTCACAAAAGCAATTTGGACGGCTGCAGAAGACGGCGTCCATACAATTTGGATGTGCAAAGAGAATTTCAAATAAAGAAAATAAACGCTTTAAACAAATAATTTCGGTAAAGCATTGTTATCTTATGTGTTTTATTACCAAATATCCTCGAAGAAATGACCAGTTCACTTATATTTATACCATCTCGCAGTCACCGCAACAACTTTGTTATTCTGTGCTATTTTCATGATATAGCCAAAAGTCCCGCTGAACATATATGTAGGACCGAGTTACCGCGACTTTGAAATGATTGTCAGAAATTCTCTCTTAAAATTGTAAAATTATGTGTATAATTGAAGCTCTCAACCTTATTTCAAAGTCCCTGGATGTTTTAAGTACCTGATTACTGCACTTAGAATACTTTAGCGTTCAGTTTAAATCATCCTTCATGTTGGGAAAATGATAGGTTTGTATTAAAAGAAACCAATCATACGCATTTACACGTACGCATATGAAATTTAATATGCGTATATTAAGGTGAAAGGGAGTTTTTGGATATAAACTCAATGCAGTTTACTTCTGTTGATAAAATTTTCAGTTATTTAATCAACACTAACTGGTACTTTCCCTTTGGCTATAGCGAAAGTGCCAGTTTCGACTTGCCAACGTTTACGTGATAAAATGGCATTTGGTTTTCAAACCGCTAAATTAACCGAAAATGCAGGCTTTGTTTATAAATATGCTGGAATTTGTCAGCCATGTCAAAACATAAATGGTGTTTACTCAAAGAATGTCATTTCATTTAAATGTATATCTATATCCTCTTAGATTACTTTAATATTTTTGGTTTTCATTATGAAAAAAGTCACTTTACTTGCTTTTTACCTGGCATTTGGTTTTGAAGCCGCAAAATGAACCTAAATCACTGGCTTGGTTTATCAATAGGCTGGAATTTGTAAGACTTATCAAAACATTAATGGCGTTTACTCTAAGAATATAATACATTCAAATGTTGTTTTTGTAGCTTTCCTGCCAAGACATCGCCCCGGCCTAGGCTATCCGGGGCAATGGTGAAATAAATTTATTTTTTGAAATCTACTTTTTTTGTCACAAAAAGTATCAACGACAATTAAATTGCGTCTTTTTTGATAAAACAATCAAGTCGGGGGTTGAAGCGAGAAAAACAGTAAAAAAAGCGGCAAAAAAGTTGATTTTAAAAGATGTGCACAATAAATTCAGTTTACCATTGGCCCCGGATAGCCCTTGATAATCCTGCCTAGCCCCTGCTATTTCGACGGGCCAGGCGGGGCTGGTGCTGGCAAGGTTCTCAGGTTAATTTAATATTTTGGTTTTCCTTATGAAAAATAGTTACTTTTACTTGCTGCGTGTGAGACCATGGGCGATTTAGTCGACCTTGATTTATCTGGTACATGCACTCGGCGGAAAATTGACACACCCGGAGTGAATCTGACAGGACGAAGCGCATCTTCGTGACAAAGCAGTCCATTCATGAATTGAGGGCTGTTATCTATCACGAAACATGCAGGAAAATTGTGACGTAACTGGAGGATTTAGATTTAAACTGACACCAGTTTTTCTTACTGTGAACTTCCTAACAGCCTTATGCATGTAAGTTCCAAGTCGGCTTCCTTAAAGCCTGGTTTATACTGGGTGGGCCATGTCACGTGGTTCACAGGTATCGAAAGTGTCTAACGTTTTAGTCACATTGCGTGAGCCTGAGTCCAGTCGTTTTGTTTTGCTGGAAGCGGAGAATCCCTACCACTGTTTCCCTTTTATACAATTGCATCACGTTTGATAATATAATTGCGAATCCTTTAAGATAAGCGCAATATTGGCAGATGAGCCCGAAATTTGGCATATATTTATCCCTGTTAAGTTGTCTGTTACAAAAATATCGCCAAAAATGCCCAGGACTTTGTACCTACGTTCCATATTTACGGAACGCCCACTGCTCGAACTGGGATGCTGCGCTTCAGCTTGAACAGGCCTGTTTTGTTTATTTAACAAGCTTGCCTAGTAAACTCTTTTAAAATGAATTTCAAGCTGCCTTTAGCTTAAGCCTGTTTTAAGGTGGACAAGACGAACAGGAAGAGGCAAATGAAGGAGACTTTAGTTTTGTTAGCTGCGTCGAAGGATTAAGCATAGTAAACACAATAGGCGCCCTGCTCTCGATGGCCTGAATGGTATGTACACTTTACGCAAACGGTCCATTAATTTATTTTGTACAAAAGCTGCCTAATTTGTAGACAGAGAACTCTAATAGGTTAAAATTTGGTTGGATATCGTTGAAAACCCAAGGAAAGTAATGCTCAAGATAGCCAGAAGAACAATAAACTGATCCACCAAAGCTTACTGCATTATTACGTTTGTCGCCGTTTAGTACAATTGACTTGTCTATCCCTTTTAACCTTTTATATAGAGAAGAATAATCAGTCTATGAAAAGTATCCACAATGGCATCTTTAGCATCCAAATTACCTCAGTCGTGGCGCATTCCACCACATGTGATTCAAACAACGTCGTGGTTATATGAACAGATGTCTGGCTTGCTATCTTACTTCCTATTCCATCTGCTAATTTACGTCTGCATGTTGCTGTTTGGGGGAAAGGAAGCCAAGCCGCCCGAATGCATCGAGTATCGCCGATATATATTTGAAAAGCGGCTGGTCTACTGCACGGGTGGAACCTATCTAAACGTCTTTATCTTCTTCGCCGCCGCCAATCTGACTGGGCAGCTGATGGAATTCATAGGACTGCCGGGGCCGATAGGTCAGTGTGAAGGCCTTTTCTACATTATATTATTTTATAAACATCTGCTGCCATCAAACACTTGCTTACTCAGGACGTAGTGAAGCTAGTTTGTACTAAATGTCTCTCTTAGGTGGCATTATATAGTTGCGACAAGAGCAAAACGATGCTGCCATATAAAGGTATGGAAGAGCGTTTTTTTTCAAACAGTTCACCCGTCCACGCATATTACCATTGAATTATTTATTCATGCATCTGCTA